TTGAGGTATTGATTTACAATCTAACTGCAGGGATGAGATGTGGTAGAGTGAAAGAACTTAACAGTACAAGGTAAAACAACTCTGTAATGTCAAGAAAAGAAGGGATTCTTGTGGACTGTGGGAAAACAGAAGGTTGAACTAGAGCTTGTTCTTTAGGGATGAGGAGAATTTGAAAGAATCAACAGGAGGAGGAAGAAAATGAACACTGCTCAAAACTAATGACAAGGAGAGTGAACAAGGCCATATTGAATGGAAAGATAAGTTTGTGCTAGAATGTGGGACAGATAAGTTTGAAAAGATGAGGAAGACACTATTCTAAAGAGAAAGGATGTACCTATAATTTCCAAGTTCTAGTTGAGAAAATGGGTTTAAGAATGATTTGTTAGGATGAGAGTCTTGAGATGGTACATCATGGTCCATGTAGCAAATGAGTATTTCTGTGTCTAGAGCTTGAAATTTTCCTCTGACAACTGGAAATTCCAAAGAGGAATTTCAAAATGGAAATGTAGATTACCCCTACCTGTACCATTAAAAATTACTAATTTATTAGATGTATCTGGTGCTTAAGCTGATGCCTTTTTACTTAGAAAATAGTGAGAAACTACTTCTTAGAAATAGTTTTTCAAAATTATAGGCTCACTCCTTTGTTTGATCCTCACAAGATCTCTCTGAGGTATTCTGCTCAATATACAGAAGGAACATAGAGGCTCACAGAGCTGAAACACTTACCCAAGACTACCACCTGAGTCCATATCTCTTGACTGTGGTTGGGAATCCTTTCCCCCCACTGCAGTTTCACGTGGTTGGTTGTGGACATGACTTTGAGAACTGGGCAGTTACATACAGTGGTGTCCCCACTGGGCCAAGGATTTTGAAGGCATCATGATACCACCCCACGCACAAGATTTCTAGACCTTTCCATAAGACACCCAGAGAAACCTCCTTTCAAATGCAGAGGAGAGAACTCCACCTCCAGCAGCTTGTGCTTGGTAGGACTGGCCCCAGGAGCACTTTGTCCATAACCTGCTCATTTGGACAATGAAGGCTTGTGTAACTGAAACAATTATTTGTACTCTCACAGGTGGTCTCTAATTTGTAGAATGCTTGAGAAGGCAAGCTGTCACCTTTACAAGTAAAGGTCACCAAAAAAGCAAAACTGCTCTTTCATTTCCTAGCTAAAAATAATGGGCAAAGAAATTAAGCAATAAGTTTTAGTCCAGTAAACCAAAAGGGAATGTAGGTGTAGAAGGAAAGCAATGAGTAGTAATATACCTAATATGACCACGGCGCCATTTGCTATGTAGGTCTTAATTATGCCCTATTCCATGTCCCCTCGTCCTCTAATTCCATAAATTCCGAAACAACCCCAGAGAAATCTTTCTGGTTTTGTTTGGAAAGCAACACTATGTTTCTGTGCCTGTGCATTCTAAAACAGGTCTGTCAAATCTGAAACCTAAATACAAGCTGACAGAAATCAGCTACCAACAAATTAAGTTAAATTAATAGAGTAGATGCCTGAAATACAAAGAAAATGTTTTTCCCCCAGGAGTCTCTCTCTCTCTAGATGCCAGACTGAATAGATTAAAGTAAACCTCAATCTCCACCAAGCCCTTTTCTTTGCCTTGTCACATTTCCTAGAGAGTCCTGCATGGGAGCCCGCTCCAGAAGTATTGCTCCCCCTAGTGGCAGCCTCCAAACTCCCATCTACCAATTTTATGGGCGTATTAAAAACGTGACTGAAAAAAAGTACTGAAAAAAAAAAACCCTATTTCAAATCCTGATTTTGATGCCAAATAGCTATGTACCTCCTTGAGCTAAAGAGTTCAATTTTATGACTACAAGCAATTTCTAAGTATACGCAGTAAACAAGAAATTCAGATTCATCCCGTGTAGATTTTGTCTTAAGACAACATTTAAGACTGTTTTATGATGGCAAATACTTCAGTTTCTTTATCTTTGTATGCAATCTATGGAATAGAAGACTATATGAATGCCAAATATTCAGATCTAGATTCTCTTTTTTTTTCCATTCCCATTATTCCCATCTTAGTTCACACCCTTATGGCTTTGTATCCAGTGTAATGGATCGCCCCACTTCTCTTCACCAACTTTGTGGGAGTTCTTTTCCAGGCTTATACAGTCGGGAAGCATCATGGCTCACTCAGTAGCCTGGAGGAACTGATACATTTATAAAAGCTTATCTCCACTTTAAAAGAGTAAGTTGGTTCAGGCCTGTGTGAGAGTGGAGTTTACACTCTCTGCATGAGATCAGGCAGGTACAGTAGTTCTATGGGAAGGAACAAAATGATCTGACTATAGAAGCTAATAAATTACCTGGGGGTTGTGGGTGGGGGGAAATTGGTCAGTATCATGAACCCCTCTCACTTCCTTCCTCGCAATCTTTTCATCCCCTGTCCTTCCTGAGTTTTAATTCTCTATCACAGTGTGCAGCTTTACCAATGGAAGGGTCGCTGGATATACCAAGAGGAGGTCTGCAGCTTCCTTATATACCTCATTTTAACAGTTCCCTCTGCTGGATAGGAAAACATACTTCAACTGGGTTTTAGAAATTGATATGCTGAAATGTAGAAAAATAAAGGAATATGCCAATGGTAGCTACATAAATCTTAGAAACAAAATCAAATTCAGAAGACCTATCTTCTAATCTCCTCCTCTGTATATTCTCTTCAAGAACCCCTTCTGATAGAACTCTGATAGAGAAGCAACTATCCCAACAGACTTGGGAATTTAGCAAATCTTCATCCCTGCCTTTTGAGGATGGTAAAACTGAATAATGATCCCCTGAGTTTAGGAAATAACAGAGGACAGAGGAGAGTGGCATGCGATAGTCCATGGGATTGCAGAGTTGGACAGGACATAGAAACTGAACAACAATAACAAGTTCAGTCATCTTAAGTGATCAGTTTATTAAGCCTGCTTTGATTATTCCTGTTTGGAAATTGGTTTGGAGGCATCCATATTCCTGAGAGATCATAAAAATTTAAATCATCAAGTCAGCATTTCATTTTTTTAATCTAAAACAGCCTGAATACATGAAAAGATTTAGCAATAATACCATGCTGCATCTATTAAGATTCCTACCAAAAAAAAAAAAAAAGGATATTACCTAAAATATTGTATGGCTTAGCAAAGATAAGCAAATTATACAATCATCTTTCTCTTATTATCTCTTTGAAATAAACTAACCAATTAGAGTGTAATTGTTGATTTTGAGAGAAAGCACCTAACTTGAGTGGATGAGTGAATGAATGAGTGGATGAGTTCAGTCACAGTGTCTCATAGCCTCTCTGTCATCCCTCACAAAGTTTCAGCTCTCCTTCAATGCCACGGAAGCCAGACTGTTCCTGTAATAGCAGTGATGATCTAAAATGGCAATGAATCAAACACAATCATCGCAAAATTTCCCTTTAGCTAAGGTTTTCCCTTCCTCATTGTTACGAGAACTGCCCCTACACAGTGAGATTGGAGAAGGATTGATGCAAGCCCTGATTTTCCTCTCTCCTGCCTTTCCTCCAACAGGAGGTAAGAAAAAGCAGTGCAGTAGGTCCAAGGCCGAGAACAGATTTGAGAAGGCCTGATTCATTGCCAGACTAGTCACCCACTTCAGAATAATTAAGAGCTGACTAGAAGTGATGCCAAACTACACATACAAGTAGAGTCTGGAGAGGCCCCAGCAGAGACATAGTGAAGAAAAAGAAGTGTGTGGTGGGAGACTGCCGGTGGGACAGGAGATCTGATTCCTAGTCTTAATTTTATCATTAAATCTTATTTTCTGCCTTACCTGAAAGGCAACCCCTTACCTGCTTGACTCCCATGGATGGATGCCAACATATGAGGGGAACAGTTCTTGGAGGTTTTGGAAATTAATAAGGGGTGGAAAGAACCACAAAGATGGAAGTGACTAACTCCAGGAACCGCAAAGCCACCACTCACTCATTTCCATGCTGTTGAATGATGTATTGACCTAAGGCCTGGTCAGGTCCAGCACTGGATCTCTAAAGTTCCCATCCAGTCTTCCCCCAACTCGTCTAGATTTCCCACCTCCACATACACACTCCAGTTATCAACCTCACCATGACATCAGCTTAAAGTCATCATTAGTCATTCATCTGCTTAACTACCATAAAAGGTACTTTTTAGAAATGGCATCCATCTAGAAAAGAAAAAAACAGACTGAGATAGGTGTGGATTTTGAAGCTCATGGTATGTACTCACCATTTGATTCTCATAATTCCTTTCAGGTAAAGCAAAGTATATGAACTCCATGGTAATTATTCTAGAATTATCTCTACCATGACCCTGAAGGGCCAGCTTTGCCTTCATTCTTCTGGCATCTTCTCTACAGAGGGCCCTCTGCCAAGAATGGTGGGAAATGAAACAATAAATAAGATCTAAGTTTTATGCCCAGTAATATTTACCGACTGATGAAGACAATAGAATTGAGACATAGTTACACATACAGCTTCCTTCAGCATCCTCTCGTCAGCAGTCAATTTCTGACTTCCTCTCTCCCACCTCCAAGCCTTAACAGATGCCTTTCTCCATATCTGGAAGCTCTGCCTACTTTCCACCATCCAGAGCATTAATAACTCTTCCTTTATAACTTTGCCTTTTCCTGAAGCCTTCCCCAAATCCATCTGCACCATTCATTCTAACGTCTCCTCTCACCCCCAGTGTATGTGTTATGTGTATTCAGTGTCCATACGCTGTCTGCTCCAACTATCAGCATTTAGCCCAAGCAGTCAACAAACTGTGTCAGCAATCCAAAACTGCCTTACTTGAGCTCACTTCCAGAATCACACTCAACAAAGTGGCAAAAGAGGCTGGTTTCCCGTATGTCGTTGTGGCTAGTTTGTGCCTGTTGTTAAACAGGGTTCTGTCTAATATCGCCTGGGATTCCTTCCAGCTTTACCCATGTCCAGTGCCAAAAAGGAGTCAACTGACCTGACCAGGTCTACATTTCTTTTCTGTTGCTCCAGGATTCTTCTGCAGCCAGATGATTCCTTACAGATCCTGGCACCTGTGGAAGCTGATGTGGGTTTCTACACTTGTAATGCCTCAAATGCCTTGGGATATGACTCTGTCTCCATTGCCGTCACATTAGCAGGTAATGTGAAAACCCCTGTTCAGTTCGGAAACTGCTGAGTAGTTGCCTACAGCGTGCTCAGTGGGGTCAAGGAGACAGACATAAATGAGATCCATTCCCTGCCTTTGGACGTTTGTGACCTATAATTGTAATTAAATGAAGAGAGCATGTAATATGAGATAGAATGAATGAAATAAGTTTTGATAACCAAAGAGGGTGCTGTTTCATTCTACCTGAGAGGTCTTAGACTTGGGGTAGAATTTTGATAACAGAGATGCAGGGAAGAGCAGGAGCATAGGTATATACAAGGAAGTAGTCTATGGGGGAATGTGACTCATGACCTAAGGTCATCAAATGAACTTTTCGTTTCTCCTCCCACCTATTACAAAGGGAACTTTAAGACCCTTGGGTAGTTGGAATTCTGTGACTGTGGGCTAGAGCCCAAGTGTTCCTCTCCGACTGTTTATTTCAACCTTTTGCTCTAATGCACCTGCCAGTACTTCACCTTTATCCATAGAGCTTAGGCAAACCATTCTATATGTGGCCACTTCAGAAAATCGCAATTCAGAGTGCAGTGCCTCCCAAAGTTGCAATCTGGGATTTTTTATTTAATTATTAAAACCTTTTTATTTTATGTTGAGATATAGCCAATTAACAGTGTTGTAATAGTTTCAGGTGAATAGCAAAGGGACTCAGCCATACATTTGCACATATGCATTCTCCCCCAAACTCCACTCCCATCCAGGCTGCCACATAACGTTGAGCAGAGTTCCCTATGCTATACAGTAGGTCCTTGTTGGTTATCCATTTTAAACATAGCAGTATGTAAATGTTAATCCCAAATTCCCTTACTATCCATTCTCCCACCCTTCCCCCTGGTAAGCTTGTGGTCTTACAATAAAGCACTTTTATAAAACCTTCCTTACATAGGACGGATCCTTGCCTTTAAAACTAAGAGACCTTAGACACCAGCTGAACGCTGAGCCAGGGCCCACAGTTCTTAGTGACCAGGCAACCTGAGGTCACACAGCCGCTCAGCTGGTGGCAGAGAGAAGGAAACTGAGGTCTCCTAACCCCCAGATCATTGTCCCCTCATCTCCCCACTGATGCTTTCAATCTGGGCTCCCTTTCCTCAGGTCTGGGCCATGCAGCCTTTGTGGTGGTGTGTTGCATGTGTTTGTATTTATTCTTTTCAATTGCCGCTCCCATGAGATGATTCAATCGTTGCTAGAAAAGCCGACATCACCCCACACTGACCTCATCCATCCACGCCGGGATTATGTTGTCACACTGTTTTCCAGTCACACATGCTACTCCCTTGCATATCTGTTTGGCAACAGTATTTCTACCCCCATGACCTAAGGCTGATCTGAGAAGGGACCCTGAGCAGGACGCTCTGCAGAGAGGATGAAAGTCACCAAAGAGTGAGGCCAGCTGAGGGGCCCTGAGCTGGATTACAGACTGTTATTAATGCCTGTTTTTTTGTGAATAGAACATTTGCTTTGCTCCTAATGTATTCCAGTCATAATCTTTATGCCCCTCTTTGTACAGAGTCCAGATGCTTGGCACCCATCTGGTTAATTCTCTTCTGCCTTGCCCGCCCCGCAACACAGTCTGCCTTGTCCAGGGCAGTGCGCACACCCTTCCAGCTCTTACAGGATTAAGTCTCTTGTTTATATTTATCCAGATACGGTTCAGCTCTGTCACAGACTAAATACCCTTTGTTCACCTGAATTTAATACAATTCATGGAAACCTGTCTGGGATTAAGCAAAGCAATTGTAACATCAGGCTTGTCTTCAGCTCTTTGAAGAGGAGCTATTGGAGGCTGCCAAAATGTTCAAAGCCAAGAAAGAGAGAGAGCAGCCAAAGAGGCACCGGGGAAGAAGAAGGAAGGGAGCTGAGCGATGAAGTAGTTCACAGACACCACACCCAGAGCTTAGGGAGCTCTGTCTTTGTCTTCGGTGGTGGGGTTTGTTCAGGTCGGCTGGCAAGTCTGTCAGACAATCCCTCTGAAAGTTAAGGATCAAAATGGAGATGTTGCTCTAATATTGTATTTGTATCTTTACCTGGGATTATCACCTAGCCCAACGTCAATATCTACACTCACAGTTTTAAAGTGACTCACCAGCTACTGTTCTGAGCATATCCTCTGCCAAGTATTATCAGTGTGGAGCAGTAAGTTAGACCTGAGTTTTGTGATCTGTGATGCTTACAGACTAGTGAAGGCAATAGATGTATACGTGACCACCTAGAATCAAGAGATAGTTTCCTTCGAATGTACCCATTAAGACCCTGCATAGCCATGTATAAGATACAACCCAAATACCATGTAAGTGGTGGTGGGAGGGGCACTTTGCAGGGGGGGAGATGTGAGGCATTTCTAAAGGATACAGTTCTACTCTTCGTTAGCTGTGTGACCTTGAACAAAGGGTATAAGCTGAGTCTTCCTTCTCATCTGTAAGAGTGAAATTAGTCATATTTTACAGGACTGTTGTGAGGGTAAATAAGATTGCACGTGTGAAAACGCCCTGAGCCCAATGCCAGGCACATAGTTCACACCTAATAAATATTTCTCTTTCTTTCTCTAGCTCTTCTAAGATGAAACATCCTGAAATCAATTCTGAAATGTGTATAACATCAGCCCAACTTTGCATCCATGCGTTTTTTCACTGTACATCTTCACACTGAAAATTTTCAAGTATTGGATTGGCCAAAAAGTTCATTTGGGTTTTTCCAGAACTCAAACCCAAACAAACTTTCTGGCCTAATCAATACTTTATAAGTGTTAGTCGCTCAGTCATGTGCAACTCTTGGCAACTCCATGGACTGTAGCCCGCCAGGCTCCTCTGTCCATGGGCTTCTCTAGGCAAGAATACTGGAGTGGGTTTGCCATTCCCTCCTCCAGGGGATCTTCCTGAGCTAGGGCTTGAACACAGGTCTCCTGCATGGCAGGCAGATTCCTTACCCTCTGAGCCATCAGAGAAGCCCATTAGGAGCTAATTCAGCTCTTTGTGCTCATGCTCAGTTCAGCCACGTCCAACTCTTTGGAACCCCATGGACTGCATAGCCTGCCAACTCACTTGTGATCAGACCCTCATGGTAAACCTCAGTACCTCTATGCTTTAAAACACACTGTAGAGTGGTGGTTTTGTTTTCTGTTTTTCACCTCGACTTCAGTATAAATGTAGCCCCCCCCCCAAAAAAAAGGATTTCATTTGAGGCTCAAAGCACTCAGGTGTCCCCTTGACATTAGCAAGACTTGTGTCTTGCTAATGCACCTGAACTGACCAGATGCGGGGAAATTTGTTCATAGTAATTCACGAGAGCAAGCATAGTATGGCAGTTAAGCTCGCAGGCTCCAGAGCCTCACAGTCTGCATTTGAATCCTGACTCTGTCACGTCCAAGCTACATATTCCTGAGCAGCTTCTTCATACTCTCTGACTCAGTTTCTTTATTTGACTTATGGTGATAATAATAGTGTTTGACTCAGAAGGTTCTTGTAGAGATTAAATGCCTTCATTCATGTAAAATGCTTGTAAGTATGCCTGGCATGTAGCAAGCACTCAATACCTGTTCACTCTTATTATTATTACCGTGAAGATAAAGCAAAAGCCAGGTTATTTTTACAGGAGGGGAGATTCCTTTTCAGAGACTGGAACGCTCACAAACCCTTTGTAGAGCACCTCTGTCTAATGTCTCAACGTCTCAATGTCAAGGGGAAAGCTGAATTAGCTATCTGAAAAGTGGTCTGAGTGTGCCTGGATTCAGAGCAAGGGAGGTGGCTACACGAGGACTGTTTCACATGGGAGAGGAAGGGAGAGCTGATGAACCCTCCTTGGCCCATACTTAGAACATTCCTATTCCCCCATCCTCTGAGTTGAGTGTGTTGTCAGTTCTGCTGCTCAGATTTATGGTAGGTCCATTGGTACTCTTTACAGTTTTTGTTTAAATAAAGAAACACCATTTAGTTTTAGATATACCAAACCTTCCTACTCTTCCCTATTTAAGCCTGTAAAATATTGTCTTTAGAGCCCTTTGCTTCTCTCTAAACTCATCAGTATGTGTTGATATTATCTTTTAAGTCCCAAAGGTTTTGAGAGTACTTTACGAGTACCTCTCAGGGTGGAGATGCCTAATGTTTCCCTACCTACCTCCCTGGTTCCAGAAACTCACAGCCATGTAGACCCCGTGGCACAAAACTCCTTTCTGTCCTAAACTCGACTCAACTGCATGCTTCACTGGATGTTTCACTGCTCAGAAGGTAGATGGGAGGGTAGCAGTGGCTAGGGAGGAGTTTAAGAATGTCACCAAAGCGTCACATACCTAAATGTTGAAGGACAGTTGACTGTGTGCATTTGTAGCCGTAGGTAAAGGAGAATCTCTGGCGCAAAGATGAGGCACGGAGATTGGAGAGCCATCTTGACAAGTGAGATTCCGCATTCAGCCAACATTGCTCAGAAAACTGCCAGATCCGAATGATGTAGGCAGCATTTTGAAGGAAAGCAGTAGTTTCCTGGTAAATTGCTTCAGTCTGGAGGGGAGCTCTGCTTACCAATGCAGATGAGGCCCATCCAGGTGTAGCCCACTGATGAGGTCATAGCCATAAGGGAAACGTTTTTGGTTGTCATTGATTTTATAAGATCACAAAAGAGATAATGTAAGGCCTGCTTGACATCATCAATGGAAAATGAGAAGAAGATGGGGGCTAAGGGATGAGCGTATCTTTCATTGAAAGGAGAGAACACAGATGAGCTCATCCCAAGTGTTCACAGGAAGAAAGAGACAGAAAATATTTCTCCTTTCCTGGCATGTTTTTCTGCTTTTCTATGAGTTGAATAGCTGACACATATTGTGTCTAATAAAGAGATCACAGAAACCTCACTGGGAAAATAAAAATAAAAGGCAGTTGGGTTGGTTTTTTTTAAATTCTCCTTTCTCAGCCCCCTCCTCATTATGATTTAGTAGCTGCAATAAAGACAAGCCATTTTGTAAGCTTTTCATAATGTAAGTCATTTCAA